AGTGTGTATTTCTGTCCCAGGAGAGACTACTTGAGCTGTGTGGTCACTCAGCTTCCACATGTGATCTCATGAAAGCTACCCACTTCCTCTCCTGAGTCCTGCCCACACATGGCTTATCATTCATGTGCTGTCCTGCCTCCTTAATAGTCCCAGAAAATGCCTGGAATTTAATTTGTTTCCACTAAGTATATAGAAGAGGGAAAAGGTGTGTTGCGAGTGGGGAGGGCATGTTCAGAAAGTTATGGTTGATATTTCATGGCATATCTACTCCACTTGCACTGAGCTTCCTGATGTAATGGAGACTGAAACCAGTAGGTTGTGGCAGGCAATGCATCACCATGAGGACTGTCTTGAGTCCAGAAACGGTATAGCTGTGCTCAAGCACAGTGCATGCAAATGCAGTTGTACTGCTTGCAGATCCAAACTGGTTTATCAGCAGCTGTCCCAAATGTCTAGAAATGTCTCATCCTTATGTTCCTGCCCTTGGGAGAAGTGAATGTTGCCAGGGAGAAGGTCTCTGCATCTATAAGTTGCAGTTCTCAAGGAGTTCAGGTGCAAAGGTGGCTCTATGAAGACTGGAAACATCTACATAGTCAGAAGCTGAGAGCTGAGGTTTATTAGCTTTGGACTACTCAGAGCAGGGGCAGAGCATGCATGGACAGTTTTCTCCTGATCAAGAAGACCTACTTGCAGTACAAGCACTAGTCACTCCACATTTAACTGCACACTGGCACACAGCTGCGCATCTGTGCAGTGGTTCATTAAAAATGTTTCCTATTCAGGTGGATTTATCTTTGTGCTTTTCTTAAATTCAGTCTCCTCCAAATCACACTGAATTGTCTTTAACATCTGAAGCAAGGTGGGAAACACATATGTACAAAAGGAATAGCTATAGCCCAAGAGAGTTCTGTCAGACACAAGATGTTAAACTGCTTTTTGATCAGCTGCTTGTAGAAATGTACATTAAACTGTAAACCATGGTTCTTCCTGTAATCAGCTAATGATCCTATCAGTCGCAGACTAATTGCCTCTACCTCGTTCTAAATTCTGCTGCATTGAAAAAGCCAAAGTCACGTTCTGATCCTGTTAATCACATTCAGCTTTGAAGAGTTGTCGTGGTTTAACCCCAGCCAGCAACTAAGCACCACACAGCAGTTTGCTCACTCCCCCGCAGTGTGATGGGA